AAAAATTTCTTTTGATTTTTTACTTTATTTAATAAGGTGTTAAATACTCCTTTACGGGGTATATTTCTGGGATTTGTTTCAAGTATGGGCATATCACTACAGATTGTCCAAAAATTCCATTTGGTCAACAAATTTTGTTGGATCAATTTAATGCTATACCTGATTTCCAACAATCTTATGCCAACTATGATTTTGAACCTTGTTATCATAATTATGGTTGGGGGCGACGAATATTATCCACCAGATAATCCTATATTGATGTATGAACCATTTTGTTTTTTTATCAAATTTTCATATCGAAAACACTTTGAATGAATTCATGCAAACCCAAATGGTTATTAATGCCTAAACTAATCAATATCTGTAAGATCTTAAGGATATTCTCAATGAATTGACCATGATCGTAGATTTACTTATAACGGATCTAACCTCTGTTAATCTTACATCCAACCTAACTTCTAATCTAAATGTAAAAACAAATACACATAGTCAATACATTGAGAATAATTCTTTTTATCAAATGTCGTTTGAGCATTATTTATCCATTACTACTACTAATAATGTTGACTATTAATTTTCTTATCAGTCAATAAGCTCAAGTGTCTGAAGACCCTTCATTATCAAGAGGTTGTAAGTTGATTTGAGTGTTATACTTGAACCAAAACCATCTAAATCTTTATTTTTGGACTTGCATAAATATGTACATATTTTATTTTTATTAAATTCTTTAAAAGTGTTCTGGGATGATAAATGGGTAAATAGAATGAGAAATGCAATAGAACACCAAAATTTTAAAATTTTAAATTTTAAAATAAAAAATATATATTTGAGTTAAAACCAAATCTATAGTTTTTTTTTTCTTTTCATTATATATAGTAGTTAGAATTATTTTTATTATTTTTTGTTATTTATAAATTTTTATTTTTTTTAAGATTTGCACACACCTTTTAACTTTTTACCCATTATTATTTGAAGTATCGGGTTAATATCTTTCGTTAAGCATAGTGTTGCGGCTAGGTTGGGGGGTATAAGCATATCCTTGAGTGCTTTATTTTTCTTGTGTTTTATTTTCTAGGTGATTTTAGTAATTTTTTATGCTTTTTTTTTTGGTAGTTTATTCTGTTGTTTTGCAGCCAGTAGTTGATTTTTTTGAAATATTCAATTTGAATATTGAGTGTTTGCATATTAGCACTCTATAAGAGTTTATTCTATATTTGAGTATGACGTTTATGTTTTCATTTGAAATTCAAATTTTTGTATGCTATGACCGTGTTAATTTTTGTGATTTATTGAATGAGATCCACAACTTGAAAAAATTTGACATCTATAGTGGAGATGAATATATAACCCATGTAAGTCTTGTGCTTAACTTTGTTGGAGGATCAAAATACATTTACTCAAAAGACTATTCTTTCAAATTCAATATCTATAAGACCCCGTATTATAATTAAATAGGATAATATTATCTTAATATTTTTAACTAGGATGAATAAAAGGATGGTAGAAACCTCGAATCATTGCTGAAACATTAATCATGAAGTTCGAATTTCGGACAAATTGACTTTTGATTTCATTTCAAATAACATATTTAATCAATCATAGGCATTTTATCATTTTCAATAAAGCAAAAATTATGTAAACACATAGCATGCCCAATTTACACATTTCTTCATGAAATTACAAATAAACAACTTTCTCAAAACCCAATCATACAAAATTGGTTCAAACATGTTTTTATACTCATTTTGCATATTCTACTTACACTAAGTGTATGCTAAGCAAGAAATTTCATCTCAAATCATCCTACCCATTTCATATATAACCCTATGTTGAAAATAAACATAATTAGGAAAGGAACCCTACCTCTTGAAGGATAAATCCGCATAAGAGAAGTCCCAAACGACCCAAACTAAGCCTGATCTTTATCCCAAAAATCCCGTTCTTGAGATTTTGGTGAAATGCACGATCTTTGGTATATATGCATAACTCTCATCATGTAGAACAACTTTATTTTTTTGTTTGAAGAGATCCGACTGCTGGATTGCCGTAGATCAAGGGAAAAAGCTTGGAGAACTTTTGTTTTTCTCTCTCTTCTTTCTCTATTGGAAATGATGGGTGCAAATGGGGAGAAATTTTGATTTTTCTCCCCCTATTTATACCCTCATTTGTTTGGCTCTCATTAAGCCACACGTCCCATATTTTCTGATCCGATTTTACCCTGAATTAGTTAAATCTCGTCTCATTTAAGTTTAGTATATTTTTATTGAACTAACTTTAAATTGTTTCTTGGGTTCCGTGACTAAAATCTAATCACGTTTATCTTAGACTGCGTAACGTCTGATCGCCTCATAAAATGCTCAAAATTCGACTATTTCAAAATTCGACAAAATTTAACTGGGCAGCTAAATTTCGAGAGACAAATCGAACAGTGAAGTATGTTTCATCCTCCAAATTCTATAAAAATTTGAGTTTTCAACTCTTACTATAATAACTACTTACCGTTTTGCTATTTTTAAATAAAATTTTAATTTTTTTCTGGGTTTTACAAAATGAGCAGGTTGACCTTGAGACTAAAGAGGATTAGTATGTGGATTCTAACGTGGATCTCTACTATAGCCCATATATACACACTCTTTTTGGTTCTCTTAGCCACTTTTTCCCTTCACGTTTAGAAGAAACAGAGAGAGATAGCAAGAAAGAAAATTTTGAGGATTGTCGTTCATATTGCATTCAAGTTGTTAGACATACGGTAGAAGATCATGATGTCCATCTAACCAGTTGTTCAATCTACATCAAGTTTTTATTCGTGCATCGAAGATAAATCCTAATGCTACCTTGTAGAGTTAACAAATATATTTTTTATTTTTTTTTGTATTTGTTTTATACATGTCATTAACAAATCTTGAGATTCGCCTTCCAACCGATGGAATATGCCTATAAAAAAGAATTAATAATAGAAGGAGACATGATCAAACCCAACAAGACACATGACTTGGGCATAACTAAGAGTAGTTTTTAGTTTAGTTTAGAATAGGACTTATTGTTGTAAATAAGACTATCTCATATGTCTGTGTGACCAACGCTTCTTTCTAGATTAATAAGAGCTTTATCTTTTGTTAATCTTGTGTTGAATNGTCTTCTATGTCTATGTGACCAAACTTTCTTTCCAGATTAATAAGAGCTTTATCTTTTGTTAATCTTGTGTTGAATTATTATTATTTTTTTTGCATTGAGTGTATTGATTAATCTTATTCAAGAAAGTTTTGAAAAAAGACAGTTAAACCCTATCCATTAATCATCTGAAATACACTGTCGAGGGAGTATTAATCGCACTTTGGACCACCTAGAGGATAGTTATATGAAAAATCATTTTGTTAATGTCTTGGTACTCAAATAACCAATGACCTATTCTTAGATTCGGTTCGTTAGCATTTTGTCTAAACTCGCAAAAACCCAAATGATCCAACTAGTTGAACTAGTAGCACATTAACTTGGTGAAAAAGATTAAAATTAAATATTTAAAGTTTATAATTACAAACCTTAAAGAAAAAAAAATTGTAATTACAAAGTATCCTAGGTGCGTTATGGACTTTTCACTTGATACACTTACAAAAAAAGTATATTTTTATAGTTTTTATAATCCATAACGTATTATCCTCTAACCCTTTTTTTTTTTTGTTGGCCTCTAATTGTTTGATTACGATGTTTGATCACTTAAAGATGGGGTCTTCTTGGTGTACGCCATGACGCCGTTTCATCTTACCTCTAGTAACTTTTGGGACCGGGTAATATTGAGGCCTAATAATGAAATGGGTAAATTACATGTAGACCCCCTATAATTTAACACTTAAACAGATGGACTCCCTCACATTTGACAAATTACACTAAAGCCCCTTGTCAGTAACAGTTAGCTAACATATCTAACAGAAGTTGCTAAATGTCTATTTTATCCTTGATAAAGTTCAGATAAAACAAAAACTTCAAATTCAAAACTGACCAACCCAACCCGAAAACAAAACCCATAAAATATCCCATTTTTTTTCCCTCTATCCCACTTCATCCCAGCTTCTACGCAATCATCATCACCGAAGGCACCGATTGCTCCTCCATCGCACTCTACCTTACTGCAACCCCCTCTCCCAGAACAGTGAACAAAGAATTTTCCTCTCCCTTTTGTCTCTCTCGGCTTGGTGATGTGATGGCTGTTATGATTACTTGGGTGGGATCCGATGGTGGCTAAGGTTTTTGGGGGTGAAGGTGGTCTTGACAACGTCAATTTTGAGGGTGTGATTTTCGGTAGAGGCAGTTGTAACTGTCGCATGGGCGTGGTACGGTGGTAGTTTTGGTGTTTTGTTGTAGACAATTTGGGGGTAGGGGTCTACTTCATGGTGATAGATTTGGTGGGTGTAGAATCAATGGTAACAAAAGGGTTAGAATATTTGTAGTGGGTTTGGATTGTTGTGGCTTGGTTAATTGTCTGTGTGGGATTCAGTGATGGCTTGGGTGTTTTTAGTAGCAGATTTTGGGGTTGGGGTGTTCTAGATGGTGGCAAATATGGATGGATGGTGTTTCGGTGGTGGTGGATTGGGGTGGAGTGAGTCTACCATGCATCTCTCTCTCCCCCTCTTCCTTTCCCCCTAAACACTTCTCGGTGGTTTTTTGCAACAATAGGTACACGGGGTTAGGGTGGAAGGATTGGGCGGGGGAGGGGAATAATGGGGGTTGATTTTGTGCTAGATGTATTTAGGGATTGAAGATGGATCAGGTGTGTTTGAAGGCATAAATAATTATTGGGTTTTCTCTTGAATTTTAGAGAATTTTATTTAAAATAATATGTTGATGTCATTCAATTTTGACGGCAAGTTGAACGGAGCTAACGACAAGGGATGTTTGTGTTATATGTACCCATAGTTCAAGGGGTGATAATGTTATTTTTCATACATGAGGGGTCCGTGTGAGTTAGTCACAAATCTCTGGGGATCTAGATGTAATTTACTCTAATGATATTGGGAAAATATCAATTCTGTGATTTAAAACGGAGGATAAAGCTCGACCAGGAACAGAGAGTGAAGGAGATAATGGCAAGAGACTCAGATTATGGAGCTTTCATGGAAAAATTCGTACTGCAGCCAAGCTCTTCGTCTCAGGAACTTCCCTTGAGTGGCCTCACCTTTGCTGTTAAAGACATGTAAGTCCCTCTATTCAGTTAGTACCAACCTTCTTCACTCAACTTGTGTGATTGTCTGCATTATGTATAAACTCTTTGTAATTTCAACTCCATGCACTAATATATGCTCGTGGATGCTGTCTTTTGGTGATTCTGTATGCATTATATTGGTATTTGCTTCTATATGTGTAGTCGAAATATGTGTGTTAAAGGCTCTAAGCTTGTATCATGATTAAACTCTTTTCTTTGACATTGTAGTTCAAATATGACACTCCATTTGATGTGTTTCTGAAATTATATTCAAGTTTCAGTCCCTTGGTTTTGTGTTCTTTTGTAGCATGTGTTGTTGTCTCTGCTTGTGGTTATTGTCTACTCAATTTGAAATTTGGAATCAGATTTGATGTGGATGGATATATAACTGGTTTCGGAAATCCCGAGTGGGCGCGGACTCATTCTGCTGCTACATCCACCGCAGTCGCTGTTTTGGCTGTTCTGAAGGCTGGTGCAACATGTGTTGGTACAGCTGTCATGGATGAAATGGCATACAGGTCCAGTTCTGATATGTTCCTGTTTGTTTAATATGTTATTCTTTTTGGGTGGATTTAGACTAATTGTGCTGTGGATCTTAAAGTGTGCACTTGATTATATGGGATGCAAATTATTAAAGAGTTATGAATTGTTCTTTGTCATCATTGTGCAAACTACAAACCTTGTCTGTGTAAATTATGGAAGACCTTGTCTATGCTCATGGATGTAGAGAAGTTAATACATTGAGCCATACAAAAATTGCTAACGATAATGAAGATGTATCAACGACTGCCGATCCTATTCCATAAGACCAACTGATGTAGGACTGAAGAAGAAATGAGAGAATAGAAAAAAAAAAGAGATACCAAATCCTTATAGTTCTCTCCCCATAGCTCCCAAAAGCGTAGGGGAGAGAGCATACGAGGTAGTGATCGAATGACCCAATCAATCTATCTTGTTATACCTTTACTATGATTTTGTTAACTATCTTTTAAGTGAGTGAAGTGACCCATCTAAATGGGGTACGCACATATCGCCTTTTATTCACTGATCTAAAACTTAGCACTTGCCTTTGGCTTTTCCTATTCTTCTTGCTTTTCTGTAGGTGTGACTGTTTGATAAAACCTATGATTTGTAATGGTTTATGCTAGAAGGCCTAATATTAAGAGATGATGGCGATTGTTCTGAAGAAATCAAGTTTCAATAGTTAAGAAAATATTCAAATGCTCTGTCATATTGGTATGAGCGTTAAACCAGCCAATACTTCCATGAGCAAGACTATAAATCCTTAGATTTCTTCATCTTGGCACGAGACACAATGCGGGCAAAAGACGAATTGACTCAAGTCAAACAAATCCTCTTAAATTAAATAATAATAATAATAAAACTATTTCTAATAAACTATTCATTACACTTCCTTCGGTCAAAAAATTCTTACTCTTTCCCCTATACTTCGAAAGTCGATTGTATTGATCCAATCAACCAATTGTTACGCCTAACAATGGTAGTGGACTGAGAAAAAATGGGTATTTATCTAAATTTGTTCCGTTTAGATCGTGAATAAACCATATGTATTGGACGGTGGACGTATACACGGATACCCACATAAATCTGCGCTGGGAAAAACGATTATTTGTCCAACACTCGCCTTCGCCCCACCTTCCTCTGTCCACTATATATATATATATTATTTTTGTGAGTTTTTATGTTTGATTCATTTGTTATATAATGAGCTTTCATCATTCTTGCAAATTTATTTATATGGTTTTATGATTTTTTTTAAATCATAGAAATTAATTGTTATAGGCGGAGGCGGGAGAGCGGGCGGGAATGGGGACGTGGATGGGGACGAGTACAGGGACTGAGAGCAAATTTATCGGATTAAAATTTCTCCTATTAATGGTGGTGGACTGGAGGTGGACGAATATTTTTGAAGTGGGGTGCGGGGTGGATATTACTCTCCTGCTCCTGTTCTGGTCCTGGTCCACTGTCATCCCTAGCTACGCCATCAATTCTTCTCCGCGGGAAACCCTCTTGATTCACTAAAGCCTAATCTACTATTCGCTAAGTCAACTTGAGACTTATACATCAACTACTACCATGGTTAGATACTTTTTTCCTTGTCGTCTCTCCGTAGAAGGCCCTCCTCCAATGTCTAGTGTAGTTTTATTTGGACCTCCTCGCAACACGGTTTGTCTAGGTCTCAAGCGATTATGGACACGCCAACAATCCTCGATATGCATACACTAATAAGTTTATCAAACCATCAAGATCTTCAACTCCAATTTGTGAGGTTGGGTAGAATCTCTAGTGGTAGCTTTTAGATTTTAGGGATCTAGGTTGTGATAGAAGCTATCACGGTAGACTTAAGATTTTCTCTCTTAGAAATCTCTCTAGAAACTTAATCTAGATGTGAGAAAAGCTCTCTCATTTATAGGTTCGGAATAAGGATATTTTTAGCAGATAAAAAAACTCAGATTCACGAATGACCGCTCAATTGGTGGGAGAGCGGTCATAGGACGGCTGTCGTTGGAATGAAAACAACATTTTAAACACGATTAAGACAAGCACAACTCAAACGACTAAGAATTTTTGAATAGAATTGGAATTGGAATTGGAAGCAGAAGCATTCCAAATTCCTAGGTGATTTTAAAAAAAAAAATTTGAAAACTATTTATGAGTTTTGAAAACATAGTTTGAGTCACAACCGGACCCTCTTTTAGCAACAATCTTTAGTGCTTAAGAGGATAATTTTTTGCATGGTTTTATGCTTAAAAATTTGTAGGGATCGATTTATACTCACTAACCTTCGCTAGAGCAGTCTCTTTATGACCTAGGTAAGTAAATGGGAAAAGGCCACGAAAGACTACTCAGGGCTCGCTCTATGAGCTAGCTCGATCGGTACCCATGGTCGCTCGAATGGTGCCAACTTTTGCTGTGTTTGAAACGTTTTCACTCCGGTGACAATCGTGCTCCCACCGATCGAGCGGTCATTTGTGAATCTGAATTTTTTTATTTACTAAAATTGCTCTTATTCCGGACTTATAAATAGGGATAACCTTTCTCACACCTAAGTTAAACCTCTTGTGAGATTTCTAAGAGTAAAAATCATCTTTCTACATTGAGTGCTTTCAACACAAGTTAGATCCCTAAGACCCTAAAAATTACAACTAGAGATTCTACTAAACTTCATTACTTAGAGAAGAAGATCTTGATAGTTTAATAAACCCATTGGCATGTGCATACCAAGGATTATTGGTGTGCCCATGATTACTGGATGTCTAAATAAACCGTGCAGTAGAAAAGTCCAAGTGAAACTACATTAGACGTCAAAGGAGGCCTTTGGAAGAGAGATAACAAGAAAAGTAGCATCTAACCATGATATTGGTTGAGATATAAGTTTCGAGTACTTGTATGTTGACTTAGTGAGTAATAGATTATACTTTGGTGAACCTCGAATGGTTCCCCACGGTTTTTCCTGATGAGAGTTTTCGCGTCAACAAATTACTTGTGTTGTTTATTGTTTATTGTATATACTTGGGATTGTTTGCACCCACGGGTACTATGTGTTGGTTGATTTGATTGTTTGAATATTTATTCAATCATATTGTGCAATTGAGTTTGGGTTTTGGGATTGTTGTAAGTTTGATTGTGAGTGAATTAATTTTATATTAATTAAAATCAATCGTCATGATTAATTTGGTTTGTTGTGACTATAAGGGTTCTCACATAAATTGCTAAATATTTGTGAGTAAGAGATAATTGTGGTGGGTGAAGTTTTAATTGGTAATCAATTGAACTTTGAATTGAAAAACTTATTCACCCCTGTCTAGGTGTAGTGTCTTGAGCTTCACGTGTATAATCCTGAGGGAAGATCCATATCGGGTCCCCTTTCCGGAACATGTTATTTCATGGAAAAGTTATAAGCAACGGTGGTAACACGATTTAGCGCTAAGATTGAGCATAGAGCAATGACACATATAACTAGTGAGTTGACATAATTATTACACTTTCTAGTCCTACTTCTTTTACAGTTGTTTTGTAATAATCAAGTAGCTCTCCATATTGCTGCTAAACAAGTATTTTATGAGAGGATCAAACATATTGAAGTTGATTGTCACTTTATTCAAGACAAAATACTAGATAGAGATATTGCAATACCATTTGTGAGATCTGAGGATCAACTTGTCGATATGTTCACCAAAGTATTGAGTCGTACTCGCCTTACGACCATCTATTCCAAGCTTAGAGTATATATATAATATATATACTCCAGCTTGAGCCGCAGTGTTGAGAGTGTTAGTGTAATATTGGTTAATATTTATTATTATATAAGAAGTAGACCTCCCTAAGGGTATACTAGTCCTTTGTATTATTATTAGGTAACTATAAATATAAGTTGAGTGTGAGAGGTAAGGTATGATGTTATTCTCNTGGTTAATATTTATTATTGTATAAGAAATATACCTCCCTAAGGGTATACTAGTCCTTTGTATTATTATTAGGTAACTATAAATATAAGTTGAGTGTGAGACTTAAGGTATGATGTTATTCTCTGGCCCTCTCATATTGGGTTAATTCTCTCAATTTTCTAAACTTAACAAAACTAAATTCCCAAAAGGTCAAAGGGATGGTGTTGGCTATTAAACTTATGTTTACTTTAAAAATGTGTACTATTACAGATTGCATGAGATGACAAACCACACCAAACTAAACGATCCAGATCCAATTGTGGCGTGAGCCTCGTGTATTGTTCCGCCCTTATTTTCATAGATGGATGGAAGCAATAATAATTTTTGTTTCTTTCGGAGATATAATGGCAAGATTTTATAGTTGGTGCCCATGGGTTTAAAAATCGGTCGTTACCAACGAGCATTACGTAGACTGGTACACCACCCGGTGTAGTAAAATTTTTCATGATGTATGGATATAAGGAGTTCACGTCGTAGTAGTATAAATTGACCCCATAAGGCTTATATGTATCATCATGGCCTCCATAGTACCCACGCTGAATGAATGTATCTTTGTTCCTACTTGGTATATGGATAGGAAAACTATTTGCATCGTAATAGCTCATACGATAAATGCTCACAGCTAGCGGTGACGATGTCAAGCAATTCTCGATACCTACTTTGTACTGAGTCCAATAAATCTCTTGAGCCTTCAGCATAACACCACCTAACAAACAAATATGTTCTCCCGGATGGAAGAAAATTCCTCGACTATTGTTATAAGCTATATTAATATATTTGTTAGTGTTTCATTCTAAGCTTCTGCTTAATCTTCTTTGAATACATCCCCGTAAAGTAGCAATAACACAGGCTTCCTCTAGATTATTGATGGTGAAAAAGAACCTCATGTGCATAAATCTTTGTTGAAAGAGTCCTTTTTTTTTGTAGACATTTTGGTATCTCATTTGCAATCATGATGAAATGTACATTTTCCTTCTATGGATGGTGTTTGATCAAAACCATGTACACACACCTACGCTCATGTCGAATGCCTACGAATGGGATACTACCCGTGCATATGCAAATGCTATGTACAATTGCAATTTACAATTTCATAATTCATCATATCATGAGCATATTATGAACATATATTTAATTTTCACATACATTCTCAATTTCTCAAATGTCAATTATATCATAAAACATATAATAATATTTTCCAACACTAATAATCATGTTATAGCATTTTTCATTCAAAATAACACACTTAATCATCCATGGGCATTTTATCAAACACCTATAAGGCATAAATGCAAACACATACATGTCCAAATAACACATTGTTCATGAAATCCATATCAATCAATTTTGTCAAACCAAAACATACAAGAATTAGTTGTAACATATTATTTTACCTATTTTTACATATTCTAACAACTCTAGGTATGTGCTATACATGAGAATTTCATCTCTAAAACCCTACACATTTGATGCTTCAACTCTAAGTAGAAAAAAAACCTAGTTAGAGAAGGAACCTCACCTCTTGTAGCATATATCCGCGTACTAGAAGCTCCAAACGCCCAAAATAAGCCTCCCAAGCTTGATCCCGAAAATCCGTCTTTGAGATTATGGTGAAACTCACGATCTTTAGTATGGTTTTGTAGGTCTCGTCATGTAGGACGACTTTAGTTCTTAGCTCAAAGAAATTCGACGGTCGGATCGTCGTAAATTGGAGGAAGAAGGTGTGGAGGGAGATTTTTCTGTTTCTTTTTCTCTTTTCTCTCTCTCTCTATCCAATAATGGGCTGAAGCCCCTTTTATACTTGTCAAATACTTGGCCTCGTTGTGCCACACATTCCTCTTTTTATAATCAAATTTTATCCCAAGTCAATTAAATCTCGTCTCGGGTTAAGTTTAGTACATTTTTATTGAACTAACTTTAAATTATTTTTTAGGTTTCACGAATAAAATCTGGTCGTGTTTATTTTAGTTGCGCAACATCCAATTGCCTCGTAAAACGTGAAAAATTTAATTTTCTACAAAAATTGCCTGGATAGCTAAATTTTGCAATACAAATCCAAATGTGAAGTCCGCTTGGTCATCCACGTTCCATAAAAATTTGGATTTTCAACCTGTACCCTAACGACTAATTACCATTTTGCCATTTTTAATAAAATTTTAATTTTTTCGGGTTTTACATCGTATAACAGTATCGTCTTGGGAGGTGACGAGTCGAATACTCCTCGTCTGACTCGTATTAGTATCGATCGATTCTTTGAACCATGCTTAGGAGGCTTTTGGAGGACTTGGAAAATGAAATGATTCCTTTCCATACATTGTGAATTTTTCGTTCTCTTGATTTTCCTTTTACTGATATATGGTATTCAAATGACATGGAAAGCAAAACTGAATTACCTCAACATCTTTTGTAATTTGGTTGTCAACAACTTTGTAAATGCTTTTAGGCTTCACCTAATTCTTCTTCCTTACACAGAAAAGAATATTCAGTGTTTCTGTGTGCTTGTACGTCACAAGACTGAATCAATCATCTTTTGGCAGTATAATTGGAGAAAACAAACATCATGGGACACCTACAAATCCATGTGCTTTAGATCGGGTCCCTGGAGGATCTTCTAGTGGATCTGCAGTTGCAGTTGGTGCAAGGCTTGTGGATTTCTCCTTAGGTGAGTTTTATGACATTGGAGAATTTTCATGGGTTTCTCCATATTCCTAATTGAAGCAAAACTTTCCAATCACAGGTACTGACACTGGAGGAAGCGTAAGAGTTCCAGCCTCATTTTGTGGGATTTTTGGGTTTCGGCCTTCTCATGGAGTTGTTTCTACTACGGGGGTTATTCCTATGGCACAGAGTTTTGACACTGTGGGTGAGAAACCATCTAACTACAAACAACACATCCTTCACATAATTGATAAGACTGATGCACTAAATGCTCAACTCTACACTTGAAAATCACTAGTGCAAAATAATGGTCAATTATATTGTTCATATCATAGTGCAGTTTAAACAAGCATTTACTTTTGAATTCAGATATGAATTTTTATTTTCTCAAGAAACCTTTAATGTAACATTTCCTGACATGTTCACTTTGCATTTTAATTCATAGCAAGATAGCTATGTGGTAGCTAAGAAGGGTTCAACGTGTCTTATTAAGGTACTAAGGTAAGTGCTTTCTGCATTGCTATATTTTCATTTTATGGTCAGATATATCTTTTTCGGTTAGGCAGGAAAACAAAAATGTCTATTGAATGGGTTTGGCACCTTGAAAGCTTACGAGATGAACATAAATTAGATACTATCACTTTAAGTGTGAACATTGGTAGGTGTGCCGATGTGTGCATGTTTATTCTCGTATGTGTTTGTGTGTGTGCGTGTTTAATAGCTCTGACGTTTGGAGTGGCTGAGTGGCTTTCTTATGTCCACGGGATTCTACTTCTCTCTCTCTCTCTTTCCCCTTGATGTGATTGGCATTATTCTACTTAATGTTAATCTGTCGTTGTAGTGAGACAAGCTTCCTAATTTTATTTGGCAATTCATTTTTTGACTCTTGTTTTCCAGGCTGGTTTGCTAGGGACCCTGTGCTATTGAATCAAGTTGGGAGGGTTCTACTGCAAATGCCTGATATGCATCCTGCTAGACCTGAGCATATTTTTATTGCAGATGATTGTTTCAAGCTTCTAAGCATTCCAAGTGATCGAGTTTCTAAAATTCTTGTTAATGNTTTGGGGGTGTGTAGGTTAACTTACTGGATGTGCTATATGGTCAGGCTCTGTATTTGGCATTTGGAGTTCATAAACCACCTAATTAACTAATGATCCCATATCGATTTTGATCATATGTGAATATACCAACCCATCACTCAATGAATTCATCATTTCACTGTGTCCTATGTGCTGTGAAAAGGAAAAAAATAATGGCAACCGGCAGTATGACCAATAATAAGACGCTACTATCTTGAATATAGTATATGAGATACGTGAAATGTATATTCAGTATCTATATCAGTTTGTTTTCATGAGTCAATTTTGCTTTTTGTATTTGAAAATGCAGGTCACATTTTGAAAACTGTGAGCCTTGGGGCCTACGTTGAGGAGAGAGTTCCAAGTTTGAAGCTTTTCATGGGGAAAGGATGCAGAAATGAAGAGCCTAATATACCATCGTTGGTAGCTCTTTCAAGTGCCATGCTATTACTTCAAAGGTTGCAGATCATGATTATTTACTTCACTTTGTGTTCATATTATTTCTATATCGAGTATTCTTTGTGATAGCAGTCGCTCTCTTGCCATCTGAAAGATACCTCTCTTTATTCAGGTATTGAGATTAAACTGTTTCTCTCTCTGAGACAGGTATGAGTTCAAGAAAAATCATGGTGAATGGGTCAGTAGTGTCAAACCTGATTTAGGTCCAGGGATATCAGAACGGGTGTGGGAAGCTCTTGCAGCTACAGATGAAAATATAGAAGTCTGCCAAAGAGTGTTGACTGAATTACGGGCTGCTCTGGCTTCTCTGGTTGGNTGTGTGGGAAGCTATTGCAGCTACAGATGAAAATATAGATGTCTGCCAAAGAATGTTGACTGAATTACGTGCTGCTCTGGCTTCTCTTGTTGGGGTACACCCATACTCTCTCTCTAACTCCTCCCCCCCACTTCCACCCCCATGAAATAAAAACGTACGGTCTTAGAAGCCAATGTCACATGTATTGCAGTAATCCCCTTGTTTTAGAAGAAAATGGTGAGTAGGTTTCGTATGATTTTGTCACAGATGCAACTGGATGGTATTATTTTAAATTTTAATGAGATTAGAGCATGTTTAACATGAGGATGTTACAGTTATGGATGCTAATTTAATATTAACAATCTACAGTTGGGTAATGTTTAATAANGAAATTTAATGAGACTAGAGCATGTTTAACACACAGGATGTTACAGTTATGGATGCTAATTTAATATTAACAATCTACAGTTGGGTAATGTTTAATAACATGAATATTAGATTCATATGTTGGTAAAAATCTATGCAGAGGTTTGACATCTCCTCGTGTTATTTCTCAACCAATATATTTTGTAACCCACATGTGTGTGTGTTGTGTGTGCTGCTGATCTGGACCCCACCTTGTTTTTGTTTCTGTTTTCTTTTAAAAAAAAAGGAATAAGAGAAAGAAAAACAAAGAAGAGGACGTCTTCTGATGACAAGGAGGCAGTAGTAGTTAAACAATTAAGATGTATGCATGTAAGTAGAGACTGTTCCATCATTGGGAATGATGGAACAATCTAACTTGAATTAATAATGTAGTTTTTACATGGTCTAATCAACAAGAGGGAGTGGAATCCGGGATGGTATACTGTTTTGTTTGTTCAAAATTCCTATCTAGTTTACTCCTTATCCATAAGTTTTTGACCTTTATAAGTTATTGGCAAGGATTAAAATTTTATTTCGGTATATTATTTCGATCACTTGGGAAACGGGAATGTTTCGGAAGCAAAAATGGAAATAAAAAGTTTGGGAATTTATTTCTCAAACATTCCTAAACATTGGTCATGATATAATCACTTTTGTGGTTCCCAATTGGGATGGAGATTCCAGTCTGGTGCAGGGGACACCTTCTTCACAATATAGGGGTATAAAACGAGAGGGCAGGACTTCCTTAAAGCTCAAATGAAAGTAATCAAATCTCTATTACACATTTCATAGTTAAATCGATTGTATACACGAGCTGAGTGAAGAATGATCCAGGAAGGCTGCGAAGATTTTTTTTTTTTTTTAATATCAAAACATCTTGAAAAACCTCAAAACATTTTAAAATATTAGTGGAAAAATGTTGAAACATTCTAAACACCTCGAAACATGAGAATTTTGATTTCATCGTTGATTTGTTTCTGTCTCTGTTGAAAATGGAACCATTTCGACCATTACGAAACACAACTTTGATCCTGCTTATATGATTTACAACCCACAAAAGCTTGGTGTTTTGTCCTTTCTCTCTTACTCTTGCATTGAAGATTAACCATCTTTTGAACTTCTCTGCACTTAAAATTTCCAGTATCTTCATTAGTTATTGTGGTTGGTTTGGAGAACAATTGTAGGATCTGGGCATCCTTGCAATCCCTACAGTTCCTGGGCCTCCTCCAAAACTTCAAACAGAGGCTTCTACCCTGGAAACTTTTTGTGTCAGAGCTTTTAGCTTGTTGTCCATTGCTGGAGTATCTGGATTTTGCCAGGTTCTCTCTCTCTTTCTGACACAGCCCCACATGATTTTCATTTAATTGGGCAAGAAGAATTGATTTGATATTTCCTTTTTGGGGAGGGTGTGGGCTCAGGCGATTATATTCATTAGTGTAATTTGCTGCTTGTGGAACTGATTCAATTTACAGTTGAGCATACCTCTTGGGATGTATGATAATCTTCCGGTGGCAGTGTCTTTGCTAGCAAAACATGGCTCAGATGCATTCCTGCTGAATGTTGTTGAGATCCTTTATGACACTCTCAAGGAGCAGGTTGAAATTGCAGAAAATTTGGGTTACTAAATTATTTGTGATATAAGAGGTAAATCTCTTTCCTGCTTGTATTTTCTCGCTGCTTGAAAGCACTCTAATTCATCAGTTTTATTCCAAGCAATCCTCAACTCTAGCTTTTGTGACGGTCCATTTATTTTCTTGTAGCATCTCAGAATGCAGACTGAATGGACTTAATAGAGCAAAGGGTATTACTTTGGTTGCTACTTCAGCTTGAGCGCGACAAGTTATGCTTAATGGGTGGATATTAGCGAGACATATTTCGTTGATGGCATAAGTAGCTGCAAATTCAGAATTCAAAATCACAGCATTAGAATAATATTACGGAATCTTGTAACTTTTGGGATGAGGGGAGGAAAATTATTTATGCAAATAGTACTGTGCTGTATTGTTTATACAAATAATACTACCTTTATGTATGTTTTATTTGCACTAATACTAGATTTCATGGTCATGTAAACTATTTAGTGTTAGAGCATCTCCAATAGGTTCTGTATTTTCACTCAATTCTTTATTATAAAGAGTCAACCCTTAAATTTTTTCTCAAATAGACTCTTTATTTAGACTCTCTAAAATAAATAGTCCAATTTAACTCTATATTTGGAGAGTCAAATTCATTCTACTCTATTTTTTGGAACAAAAAATGGATATATTTATCTTTTTATCCAAGACATTCAAGATAAATGTATTTTATTTAAAATAATGGAATAAAAATAAGGTATAAATCAAATTTATTGCTAAAAAGGATAATATAAAATGATAATAATGTAGGTGTGCAAAAATATACTCTTTGATATAATTTTTTTTATTAAAAATGCTCTCTAAAAATAGAGAGCATTGTTGGAGTTACTTTTAATCGTTATAATTTGTGAATACTATATATTGAAAGCCAGCAAAATCTCAAGGGCTACACTTGGTTGTTGAGGAATCTTCCTCAGCTATTGGTGCTGCCAAAAGTATGTTTGAATTACATAATCTTAGCTCAATTTTTTTAGTATGTATATGTTTGTGCCCGATTGTCTAAAAGAAATATTCGAAAACATAACATTTGTTGGCCCGACATTTTTACTAGTGCACTGACTTGATCCGATATGTGTACACCTAAGTACAGGCGGTCAAGTTGTAATAATAATCCGGTTAAGTCCGGAGTCAAATTCACAGGTAACTATGATTAGTGTTTTAAAGTAACAGTGACAAAGACAAAGTAATTGAAAACCTTGAGAGTTTGAAGTTATGAGATTTCTTGAATAGAACATAAGATTCTTTCCAAGAGTTTTCTACACAAAAATATAAAATAAATTCAAATGTAAACAGTCATCATTTAGTTCGAGGATCAGAATATGTAGTTAATCATCCGATTTATTATACTTGTACTTTATAACTCAATTAACCCCCGTGTCAATAGCAAGTTAATTGGAAGATAAAGATAGACTGTGAGAATTAAGCACATGGTTCTGATGTCTTTCAGAAGTTTACAAAAATTGTTTGTGAACCCATTTACAAACAAGCAAGTATTTCTACAAGGCATCCAACCATGACATTAATGTTTCATTCTTTAGATAAAAGCACAATAATTGTGAAAATTGAAATGTTGTCATGAAGATCTACTTGAGGTACTTGCCTTGAAGCAACAAATCTTTCTATGCAAGAGACATCCGTGACATAAAGAGAATCTACGGTTATACAAAGTACCTTAGCTTTGCTAGATGCATTCAATCATTCAATAAACAAGTGAAATATAAAGTATTAAAGCATAAAGGAAATGCACAAATATAACTTCCGAATAATTTATACATATTCATCACCTCTTACTAAAAAGTGAATGAGGAACTACTCACTCTTTATGGTTTGAATAAAGTTAGAAAAGTAAGTGATGCTCATCCCTCCAAGTATAGAACTACAAGGTAAAGTACAATAAGTGAGGAGCCGATCTTCAACGAAGAATGAGTGAATCATGTTCCACCCTTCACGGCTTTGGTAAAGCTCTAAAAAAGTGGAAGAGCTTCACTCCTCTAAGAAAAACGGAAGCTCAAGCAATGAAAGTGAAAGACATTAAATGAAAATGGAAGAAAGTTAGACACTTTTGGAGGGTTTCCACCGCAATCAAAAGAGGATCTATCTCCCTTGATACAAGTAAATATAACACTAAGTCTAAGACTTAGCATATGAGTGGGAGTCTAAGCCTCCATCTAACTCTTGACTAGTTCTTGGTGTAGTCAAAGCCTTACAAACCAAGTTCTAGTCTTTTACAAGAACTCCTCCTCCTCCAAAGGGAGTATTTATAGGCAAGAAAGAAGGGGGGGAAGACAAGAGAGTGTGAAGGAATAATGTATGTCGCCCAAGTCCAAGTGAAAAACCAACAACTCTACAGCCTGCCTATGGAGAACGTTCGAACGTGAGTTGACATTCAAACATTGTATCTATTTTTCCTTTATGGGCGTTCAAACGTTATATGGCGTTTGAACGTGTCTTCTGTCTTTGCTTTATAGGTGTTCGAATGCCAGATGGGGCCTGACTTTCTCGCTCAATTGGCCTGTGGTCTTCTCTGGAAACCTATTTCCACACTTCATGCACATCTTGGCGTTTTGCACTCATCAGTCTGGTCTTCAATCAATTTAAGTGGATGTTCGAACGTGAGTTGGCGTTTGAACATGGTACTCAAGTACCTCAGAGTCTTCCTTCTTGGCTGCAACACGTCATGTCTCAGTAGTCTGGTCTTCAATCCATTCAAGTGGACGTTCGAAAGTTAGTTGGCGTTCAAACGTTCTTGGCTTGATCCAAGCTTTTCCAATTTTTCTCCAGAATATTTTGGTATTGCATGAAAGTTTGATACTCATTGCCTTTAATCCCTTGTACAATTTATGGCCAGAAATGTCATCATTTAAACTCCATCAAAGTATAATTAGTCATAAAAGAGCATAGTAATATGCTAATTTTAATGACTAATCATGTACAAGACAATGGCATTTATCTAAGTCGGTCCTATCTAGTAAAAATTATATTACATAAAAATGCAATCCCAAATTTGCGTTTACCAAATTTTATTCTTTGGAAATAGCTAATTCTTGTCATCCAATAATTTTTCGTAGTATGGTTGCGTGGCAGGTGAGGTAAAATTGCAAATATAGAAATGAATTTCAATAATTCTATTGTGACCTACAATAAAAACATAAAATGGAGGCTTAATGTGATGACAACGGGNGTCTAAAAGAAATATTCGAAAACATAACATTTGTTGGCCCGACATTTTTACTAGTGCACTGACTTGATCCGATATGTGTACACCTAAGTACAGGCGGTCAAGTTGTAATAATAATCCGGTTAAGTCCGGAGTCAAATTCACAGGTAACTATGATTAGTGTTTTAAAGTAACAGTGACAAAGACAAAGTAATTGAAAACCTTGAGAGTTTGAAGTTATGAGATTTCTTGAATAGAACATAAGATTCTTTCCAAGAGTTTTCTACACAAAAATATAAAATAAATTCAAATGTAAACAGTCATCATTTAGTTCGAGGATCAGAATATGTAGTTAATCATCCGATTTATTATACTTGTACTTTATAACTCAATTAACCCCCGTGTCAATAGCAAGTTAATTGGAAGATAAAGATAGACTGTGAGAATTAAGCACATGGTTCTGATGCCTTTCAGAAGTTTACAAAAATTGTTTGTGAACCCGTTTACAAACAAGCAAGTATTTCTACAAGGCATCCAACCATGACATTAATGTTTCATTCTTTAGATAAAAGCACAATAATTGTGAAAATTGAAATGTTGTCATGAAGATCTACTTGAGGTACTTGCCTTGAAGCAACAAATCTTTCTATGCAAGAGACATCCGTGACATAAAGAGAATCTACGGTTATACAAAGTACCTTATCTTTGCTAGATACATTCAATCATTCAATAAACAAGTGAAATATAAAGTATTAAAGCATAAAGGAAATGCACAAATATAACTTCCGAATAATTTATACATATTCATCACCTCTTACTAAAAAGTGAATGAGGAACTACTCACTCTTTATGGTTTGAATAAAGTTAGAAAAGTAAGTGATGCTCATCCCTCCAAGTATAGAACTACAAGGTAAAGTACAATAAGTGAGGAGCCGATCTTCAACGAAGAATGAGTGAATCATGTTCCACCCTTCACGGCTTTGGTAAAGCTCTAAAAAAGTGGAAGAACTTCACTCCTCTAAGAAAAACGGAAGCTCAAGCAATGAAAGTGAAAGACATTAAATGAAAATGGAAGAAAGTTAGACACTTTTGGAGGGTTTCCACCGCAATCAAAAGAGGATCTATCTCCCTTGATACAAGTAAATATAACACTAAGTCTAAGACTTAGCATATGAGTGGGAGTCTAAGCCCCCATCTAACTCTTGACTAGTTCTTGGTGTAGTCAAAGCCTTACAAACCAAGTTCTAGTCTTTTACAAGAACTCCTCCTCCTCCAAAGGGAGTATTTATAGGCAAGAAAGAAGGGGGGGAAGACAAGAGAGTGTGAAGGAATAATGTATGTCGCCCAAGTCCAAGTGAAAAACCAACAACTCTACAGCTTGCCTATGGAGAACGTTCGAACGTGAGTTGACATTCAAACATTGTATCTATTTTTCCTTTATGGGCGTTCAAACGTTATATGGCGTTTGAACGTGTCTTCTGTCTTTGCTTTATAGGTGTTCGAATGCCAGATGGGGCCTGACTTTCTCGCTCAATTGGCCTGTGGTCTTCTCTGGAAACCTATTTCCACACTTCATGCACATCTTGGCATTTTGCACTCATCAGTCTGGTCTTCAATCAATTTAAGTGGATGTTCGAACGTGAGTTGGCGTTTGAACATGGTACTCAAGTACCTCAGAGTCTTCCTTCTTGGCTGCAACACGTCATGTCTCAGTAGTCTGGTCTTCAATCCATTCAAGTGGACGTTCGAAAGTTAGTTGGCGTTCAAACGTTCTTGGCTTGATCCAAGCTTTTCCAATTTTTCTCCAGAATATTTTGGTATTGCATGAAAGTTT